TCTTCTCCAGTCACGTGCCGCTTTAGACGCCCAGCTGTAAAGAGACATAAGACGACTCTGATTGGCCCTGGATGCCTGCGTCTAGCCAAAAGGATGCAAAGAGTCTTAAGCAGGAAGCCTCAGCGGGGGGGGGGGGGGGGCTAGAAGCGTGCAGCCAAAGAGCTGGCTGGTTATTTTGAATCAATACGTGAACTTCAGCCTTCCTCAGCAATGCAGCTCCTGCCTGTGCGTGCCCTCACCACTCTGGCCCATTCTCTCTGCCAGTTGCCATCTCAGACGCGTCCCTTTCGGCCTTCTCTGCCCTGCACTCTTCGGCACTACTTTTCCTCCCAGCCTTCCTTTCCTCACCTTCCTCCCTCCCTGACTTGCCTTGGCTTGCTGTCCTCACCTTTGTAGGCTCCTTTATTTGCCTTAACTTTCTTTAAGACTGCAGTGGCAAGATCAGCCAGTGGATGCAAGATATAGTTCTGCCTGCCACTCCCCTCTGCCTGCCAAATACCACTGTGATATAGATCAGGGGGTTGTTGGGCTTTTTGAACTGGTGAGCAGCTTTGGAGTTTTGAGACAGGATGGTAGATGCCGCTACAAAATGGTTGCCAAGCACACACAAACACAGAGGAGAAAGGGGGATGAGAAAATAGAAGTCCAAGGGGAGATAACTCTCACCGAAGAAGACTAAGAAAGGTGAGAGGAGGATAAAACAGAGAGAGAGAGAGAGAAGCCTGAGGAGTGCTCTGAGGGGTGCTCCGTAATCCCTGGTCCCTCACAGTTCATCCATGGTCCTGTTTACAGTATCCTAAATCCCTCTCCTGTGAGCATTGGGGAGGATCCAAGTGAAAAGTCCCTTTATTTGTATGAAGGCACTGGTTCTGCTTTCACAATGGTGCCACCTACTCCTCTGAAGCACATGTCAGTGCCTGGCGAAGAGCCCGTGGGCACTGTGATGCTCATGGGTGTCATGCTTGGGAACCCTGATATCATATGTAGCAGAATTGGAAGGGAAAGAAACAAATCTGCAATGTGGCTTATTGGGTAATAGCGGGTGAACAAAGAGTAGGGTGGGTGCCACAGTCAGATACATATAGCTCATTGAAGCCAGGAGCACAAAGTGTGAGACCAGACCTAAAGGCTCAAAGCAACAATGGTGGCCATACTGAGCAACAGATAAGATCAAGGTCCAGAATGTACCAGTCTGTAGCTGTAAAGTCAGTCTACCTGGGTCAGCGAGCAGTGGCAGGGAGATGAGTCTGGAAGGAGGGCCAAGCAAAAAAATATTCCCTGCAAACCATTATCAGCAGACCACCTCTAGAATGGACACGCCCTGCCTTCCTCTTTTCTCCCAAGCAGTTTTCCCTTTCCTTGGTTAAAGCCGAAAAGGTTTGCACTGTCATGGTTTGCAAGCCAATTTTAAACAAGGGAAGGGGGGTCACTCTGGAGAGGAGTGTTGGGGAGTTGTTTTCATTGGTGTGGCTGCCTATGAATTTGCAGAACATGGTTGGCATGGAGCCAGAATTGCAGGAAGGTGGTGTAGCCCTGTGGGAAAGCATGCAGAAAGTCCCAGCTTCAGCCCCAGGTATCTCCTCTTAAAGGACCTGGCATAGCAGAAGATGGGAAACGGTCTCTGGCTGCAATCCTGGAGAATCGTGGCTAATACATTTTGACAGTACTGAGCTAAATGGACCAACAGTCGGTCTCAGTGTAAAGTGGGCCTGTGGCTCAGTGGTTGAGCTTCTGCTTGGCATGCAGAAGGTCCCAGTTTCAGTCCATGGCATCTTCCGTTATAAAAGGGTCAGATCGTAGGTGATACGAAAGACCAGCCTGAGACCCTGGAGAGCTGCTGCCAGTCTGAGTAGACAGTGTTGAACTAGATGGACCACTGGTCTGGTGTGGTATAAGGCAGCTTCCTGTGTGTTCATGTGTAGATCCTTACAAGTGTGCTGCAAAGGCACTAAATCGCTGCCTTGCTATCTCTCTGGTCACCAGTTCAAGGCTTAATGCAGGCTTCTGAATTGTTTCCTGACTATTTGTGGTATTTGTTCAGATGCCCTTTGCAGGGCTACTTTTAAGAATGTAGGATTGTAGTAGGCATTTCAAGGTGTCCTTAGGTATCTGGTTCACTTCCAGCTCAAAAGAGCCCTGCTTTTTTTGGGGGGGGGGGGCTGTGGTTCAGTGTCAGAGCACCTGCTTTGTGTGCAGAAGATCCCAGGTTTAGTTCCTGGCATCTCCAGGTAAAAGGACCCCAGACAGCAGAGCAAGGAAAGACTCTGCCAGAGATTTTGGAGGCTTGTTGAGGGCTAGGTGATCCAACTTAGTATAAGGCCGCATACCTCTTCATATGTGTGTCTGCACCAGGCCTGGCATGCAGAGAGCTGGCCAGGAGATAGAGCTTAAGGCCAGTCTCTGTGTTACAAAGTCTTCATGTTTGTTGGTGAGAAACATGAGGGCTTTGCATCCTTCAGTGGAAGTTTTGTGCCTCTTAGAGGCACCTGTGCCCTTTTTCTCTTTGTGACTGTGGTGCGTGGGTACAAGCAGCTTCAGCTTCCCCCCCCCCACTGCTTCTGCTTCCTCAAAGCAGCCTAAGGAGTTGCTATTGGACCCTTCATGGAACTTAATGTGAAGCAACATAAGTAATGTGGTTTAACAAATGGAGAGTTTCAGGTAGCAAAAACACCATGGGGGTAAGGCTGAAATTGCTTCTACACAGTGTGTCCTGGACAAGCAGAAAAGGGTACATGTGAGTCTGGGAGGCACAGAACTCCCATTGAATGTCTTATGCTAAGGCCTTATATCATCCACCAACAAACACAAGGACCAATTTCCCACAAGCAGCTGTGCTGCCCTTGCTCTTCCTTTCCCCCGATTGTCTTCATCAATTTCCCACTACTTGCTGTGCGACCACATTTTGACCCACAGCATCCCCCAATTTTCCCTGCGTCTTCTCAAACTCAAAAAACAAGGCACGAGAAGACGTGGGGGAAATCGGGGGATGCTGCGTGTCAAAATGCGGCCATGCAGCAAGTAGTGGGAAATTGACGAATACAATCGGGGGGAAAGGGAAGAGTGAGGGCGGCGCAGCTGCTTGTGGGAAATTGGTCAAGGATTTTGTAACATGGAGACTGGCCCCTAAGCAGACGGCCTGATTGGATGGATGTCAAAACAGGGAGGTGCAAACAAAGTAGAAGGTAAGTTCATGAGCACAGTGCAGGGTGGGAGAAGTTTCAAAACAAAAATCACATTGAGAGGAACATTAGGAAGCTTAATTAGCAATGGTGACTGGTAGCTTATTGCATTGGTGGGCTTGCCAGATCGCCCCAGCAACCACTGGGGGCTGGGGGGCTGAGCTGCAAGCTCCAGGTTAGGACATTCCTAGAAATTGGGGGCTGGAGCCTGGGGAGGACAGGGTCCTCAGTGGGGCACAATGCCACAGCATCCACCTTCCAAAGCATCCATGTTCTCCAGGGGACCTGATCTCTGTAGTCTGGAGATGAGCTGTAATTCCATGAGATCCCCAGGCCCCACCTAGAGGCTGGTATCCCTGTTGGGCAAGTACCTAAAACTAAAGTGACTAGTTGACTTGGACAGAAAGAGCCCAGCTGGCTTTTTGTGAGATCTGGGCATGTGTTGTAGGGTTGCCAATTATAGGTTGGAAAATTCCTGGAGATTTGGGGGTGGAGCCTGAATAGGGCTAGGTTTGCAGAAGGGAAGGGGACGTAATTCCTTGGATTCTACTCTCCAAAACACCCATTTTCTACAGGGGTGCCAAGCCCCACCTAGTTGGCAACTCTAACCCGATGAGTAAGGAAGGAGAATTGCTTCCTTTTCCCCTGCTTGGCTTTTCCTTTCCCAACTGATTGCTAGATTCTTTGCAATTGTATTTGTTTATTTTGCAAAATTCTGCATGGTAGCAGCCTGTGTGTGTGCAGCTCAGGTGTCCTCTGTGCCTGGGTGTGGTCTCCCCTTCCTTCCTTCCTTGTTAAGATTGGTGTCAAGGGTACTTGCTGCAATGTGAGCAGCAACACAGGTGCTATGGAGGGTTTGTTAGTGGGAGGCTGGGAGGCTGGCTGGCTGGCGGGATCCACCTGCTTGCTCGAGTCCGTATGCCACCCTGCCAGTCCTGCTTTCCAGTCTTGCCCCAAAATGTGCCTGCTTGTCTCCCCAGCACTCACTTGCTGCAAAGAGTGGCATCAGAAATTTGGCACCACAGATTTATCTCCAAGGAGTTACTTTAAAAAAATTGAAAAGTGGGATTCTCAGGTCTCTCACTGAATTTCTTGTTTGCAACAAAAAACTTTAGGGGAACTGAATGCACACACTCTGATTTCTTTCTGATTCTTCCGGTTTCATGGCTTTTTGTTTAAGACAAATAAAGAAATATTACTAAGATTTGGCATGTATGTTGAACAGTTTTCATAATATCTGTAAAGTTGCCATTTTCATTCATGTGTATCATTTCACATATGTATTTATGGCATCCAGGCATCCTTAGAAAATCTGTTTTCAAAATTTGCATTGCAGAACATACTATTGTGTTTTGATTTGTCTGGATATGTGTCCATTTTCATTCTAATTCTTACCCAGCTTGTCATTTTGATTAAACCAAGGGTTTCCAAATGCATAAGAACCTATCATGCTTCCTTGATGTTTCCATACAACTTCATCTATAGGAAACTCTAATTCATGCAGAAATTATTAGGTTTTCAACCTGCTCAGCATCCTTCTGTTGGACTGAATCCTTAAACTATGTCAACCAAATGATCCAGGATTGCGCAGTTCTCTCTCACACACACTCCAGCAATGTTGAAAGATACTGACATTCCCTCCCCTTCTATTGCATCAGTGGGCCTTCCACCACTGCTAGAATGCTAGAGTCCATATGTAGTCCTTTTGGTTGAACTGTTTAACTGACACCAACTGCCATGGAATCTGCTGCAGGGCAGGGCCAGCTAAGAGCAAGCAAGCAAGCTCAGCCCAGGATCTAATGCACTCTTCTGTCTTTCCAGAATGGGTTAAATGCTTTGCATCTGGCTTCCAAGGAGGGACACGTGAAGATGGTAGCGGAGCTGCTGCACAAGGAAATTGTTTTGGAAACCACCACCAAGGTGAGGCCCAAAGCTACTGAGATGGGGATGGTGTTTACAGATGCCAACTCTTCATTTCTCTTTACCTGTTCCTTAAATATCGCTTTGAATAAGAAACCATTACTGGCTGATGTTATTTAACTTCATGCCATGAGACACTTCAGCTGCCCATTTCCACTCATTAAATCTCTATTAAAAGGACAGGATTTTTGTTGTTGTTGTTGTTACTGTCCAGTTGGCAACTGTATAATTACAGGACCTGGTTCCAGAAAAGCTGAGGGCAAAAGTGTTCCATAACCAACAGGAACTGACCTTCGAGAGCTTAAGCAGATGAGATTCACACTTAGTATTTTAAAGGAGAAAAGACAGTGGCTGCAGTCACACACACTAAATAATCCACTTCCAATGCACTTTCCAACTGGATTTTACTGTGTGAACTGGCAAAATCCAGTTGGAAAGTGAATTGAAAGTGGATTGGTGTGTGTGACCACAGCCAGTGTCACAGAACAAACTATCGCCTCAGACCAACACAGCTACCCACCTGAATCGACCTTAAAACCACAGTTTGTTTCCCTTTGAAATGCTAATTTGAATAGTGAATGCAGGTAGAGACTGGAGGGTTAAACTGCCCCTCCCTTCCCTTTGTGGTCCTGAGGCAAAGTGAGGCTGCATGAACCTGCAGTTTACATTTTATAGACAGGAGACATGATCTTCATCTGGTCTGTTCAAACCTTTATTTGGTCAGGCGGGCAACCAAGCCTGACCCGAAAGCCTTTATAAGGGGCAGGCAATCCCACCAGACTTCCTGTGGCTTATTGTTGCAGGGAGGCTTCATCGATTAGTCACCATGAATTTCCATACTCTGGTCAGAGCTGGCTGCTGGCACACTGAATCCCTACTTCAAAGGGAAGCGATTGCAGCAAGAGAGCGTAGCTGGGATTCTTTGTTTGCCTATGCAGGTTCTTAAACCTTTTGGAAAGCAGCCAAGTTGCCCCAGAAATTGCAGTTTTGTGTGGATGCTAGTTATATTTTGTTAATGGAACGAGCCAAATAAGTAAGGATCAGGAATGGTTCCATCCCTTATTTGCTACAACCAGGAACGAGGTGCCAGTGGCTGCTAGGATTCTAGGATAGCCAGCAGACCTGGAGAAAAATGTCCTCTGCCTTTAGCAAAGGCATATTGCTGTGTTATTCACTAGGTGCTGTTGTTTATCCTCCATACATTCAACCTCTATTAAAGGAACAGGACATTTTTTCCTCCAGGCCTCTTGGCAACCCTGTGACGGGGTCCTAGAAGCAGAGGCTTGTGGAGGGCAGCCAGGAAATGGCTTGGCAGGCCTAAAAGAGCCTGTGGGAGAGAGGGTTCTAATGTCTGGGGCTGCCACATTCTATGTTGCAGTGGCATTGGGCATGTCACCCAAGCCTTGCCCTGCCTGATTTATGTGGCAAAGATGGCCATGGTGCATCTCTCTGCTGGGTAGAGTCATGTGGCCCCTAGCTCTGCCTTGTTCCTCAAAGTTTCCCTCGCACTCCATGTGAATTGTTGACCAGTTTGGCTCACGGCTTTGAGCTGTAGGCATTTGTGTTGTCCTCACCCTGAAAGTAAGTACAGCCCATAATGATTCCACAGTTCCTGGCAGAAGCTCTGGCAAGCTCTTTCCTGCTTGCAGCCAAGCCTCTCATGACAGGGAGCCTGCTGTGCCGAGGAAGGATGGGTTTTCCTGGCGTAACTTTTGCCAGGGGATGGGAGGTTCAGTAAGGGGTTGCTAACTTCCCAGCTAGCAAAGGCTCTTGCTTCTTTACCATCTCCATGGCCAGGAGGAGTTCAGGTGATCTGAGGAATCTGCCTGCTGCAGTAGCAGATTGTACCCCTTCCCGGCTTGTGCTGCAGAGCCAGTGATTCATAGTCAACCAGCTGAGATTGCTTCCTGGTGAATATATGAGCTGTATGTTCATTGCATCCTATGGCTCTGGAACCAAATCGGTCTCACTATGGAACTAACTACAGCTGTTTAGAAAAATAAGGTATATTGGAGGGGTAAAAGGGATGCTAGAATAATTGATATGTGAAGGGAAAAGGCAGGAAAAGATTTTTATGGGGCTAATGGGCTTCTTAGAGATGCTTTACAAAAAGGGAAATAAAATTTGAGTATAGTAGCACTTTGAAGTCCAATAGGATTTTCCAGGGTATAAACTTTTATGAGTCAAAGCTTATTTTGTCAGATACAAATGGAATGAATCCAACTGACAAAGTGTATGGATTACTTATACCCTGGAAAATGTTGTTGGTCTTTAAGATGTTGCTGGACTCGAATTCTGTTCTCCTACTTACAGACTAACATGTCTATCCACCAGAGAGGAAAATGAAGGAGTTGAACATATGCCGGTAATTCACTAGTGAATCATATGCAGGGTGCTCCTGTGTGTATTTATTGCTCAGGGTGCTCCTGTGTGTATTTATTTATTACTTATTGTGAGGTCTTGAATGCCTAATAAAGGGCTTGCAACACCCAGTGTTCAGACTGCAAAAACTTTATTACTTCAGTTATACAAATGGACTTTCTTATAGTGATAGTTATATAGCTTCAGTTACACAAATGGACTTTCTTATACTGATAGTTTGTTGGTCTCTTGCTCTGAACTTTGATGAACTCTGGCTGTGTAATTAGACCCCTGACTGAGAACATACTCACAATGTCTTAATTCAGATTAAAGATTCCTGTGTTCCCGTTAACTATTGTGTAACTATCCTAGAGGAATACACACACGTACTCGACTGCATGCTTAGACATCATTTAAAAAACATTTAGCCCGGGACTTTGCCATTGTACAGCTTCTTGTTCAGACTGGGCTGCTACTCATACAAAGCATGGGAAACAACTATGGTTAGCATTAGGTCAGCACCAGCTTCTCAACTAACTATCGTTAATGACAAACCTGTTTCTTATCCTGGTTGCAAACTGTTGTTTGGTATTGACTGTGGTTAGTCAAAACGTCAGTGTAGACATAATACTAATTATAATTATGCTTCAGACTGAAATGGAGGAAGGAATGCCTGCTTTTGTGATAGGGGAGGTGCACATGAACTCACAGGATAGTCAATTACATTTTTTGCAACAGAGCCAATACTGTCTCTCTGGGCTGATATGAAGCTGCTTCCCCCTTCTGGCCACATTCTTGAGCAGAAAAGGGCTGCCATGTGTCTGAGAAGCATAAAATTCCCATTGCAGGCTGATATAAACTCCTCATGTCATCCCCCAAGAAACACAAGGCCTTTGTAACATGCAGATTGGCTCTAAACTACATACTTGATGTCTCAACAGGAGTGTAATTCCAACTCCCTGTATCAGCCCTCCCCCCATCGTTTCTGTCTTGTCTGGATTAAGTTTCAGTTTAGCCCTCATAGTCACTGAATGCATACATTGGTTTAACAGTTATAGCTCACAAACTGGGGATGCTGGCTTAAGATCATTACAAAGGCTAGTTATCCCTCAGTATGCTTTAGCTATACTTCTGGACAGCTTTCTTCTGCCGTTAAAGAAATAAGGAAACAAAACCACTAATGCAGATGAGAATACTAACTGTACTTTAAAGCAATGCACTGAAAAGGCAAATGCCCAACCTAGAGCATATTAACACCACAGGCTTAACAACATTTTGTCCCCCACAGAATCATGGGAACTGTAGTTCTATAAGGAGGACTAAGGATGTCTCAGATTGATGCTCACCAAGCTTCACTTCCCAGGATTCTTTGGATGAACCACTGAATGTTAAATTAACATAAAACAAATATAGATGAAGCCCCCCAGGAGAGAACCTGGGGATGCTCGTTTATCTCAATTAATTAATCTGGATGTGATCTACTGTGTGTCTTGAGCTGATTCCTTCCTAGCTTGTCTGTAGCCCATCTGATCTTTCTCTCATATCTCTTTTTTCCTCCCAGAAAGGAAATACGGCCCTGCACATTGCAGCCCTGGCAGGACAAGAAGATGTGGTCCGGGAGTTGGTGAATTTTGGGGCAAATGTCAATGCACAGTCACAGGTAAGCCAGCTTCTTCCCAGAGAGGGGCCCTTTTAGTACTTCATCAGGCCAGCTTCAGGACTGGGATGGGGGGGGGGCTGTGCCAGAGTCTGGGCTGCTGTAACCGTCAAGAGACAGACAGGGGAAGGGCTTTATACAAACTGAGTGTTGTTCCCAAACAGCCTTTGCCATGTGTCTCCTGCAGCCAGCAAAGCCCCTGGCCAATTTATTACTTTTTTTTAAAGTGATTTCAGCTCTTGATGGTATAACTCAAGGGCAGCTTCACCATTTCCCCTGCAATTTAGCTATCCTGAGTGAATTAAGATACAAGATGCAGTTACAGAAAAGGATGAAGGAGCTATGCAACTCCATGCAAAGAACTGAGGAAAAAACAGCGTATGCGATGCAGAATTCAACATTCTGAACATATCTGCTTGATTGCTTACTTAAAACAAAAATGCTGCACATTTCTAATCATCATGGTTCTAAACATAAAATTAAGTAAGGTGATGGAGGAGTGCCTGGTGAAATTTCCAAAGCCAGAGAGGGGCTCTGTTCTCCAGGGCCAGCCCAAGGAATTTGGGCGACTTAGGCGAATGACTTTGTAACCCCCACATGCTGCAGGGAAGCCACCATCGCTTTCCTTTTCCCACCCCTACACTGTGAGGAAGCTTCCTCCTCCCTGCTACCATGGGGAAGCGACCCCCACTCATGCCAGTATCACTAGCGCTGGGGTTGTGTTTTGTTGCGATGCCATGCCTCCCAGCAGGGGCACTTGTTGTTGTTGTTCAGTCGCACAGTCGAGTCCGACTCTTCGCGACCCCATGGACAAGATCTCGCCAGGCCCTCCTGTCTTCCGACATTCTCTGAAGTTGGCTCAATTTCATGTTCATTGCATCGATGACACTGTCCAACCATCTCATCCTTTGCCGTCCCCGTCTTCTTTGACCTTCAATCTTTCCCAGCATCAGGGTCTTCTCCAGGGAGTGCTCCCTTCTCATTTGGTGGCCAAAGTATTTGAGCTTCAGTTTCATTATCTGGCCTTCCAGGGAACAGTCAGGGCTGATTTCCTTTAGGATTGACTGATTTGATCTTCTTGCAGTCCAAGGGACTCTCAAGAGTCTTCTCCAGCACCATAGTTCAAAAGAACCTACACCCAAAGGAGCAGGAAGGGAAGGAGGAAGACTCTCACCCCCACCAGAGGGAAGGAGCAGGCTCATGGTGGGCCGCACATGAGAGCCAGGAGTGCCATCTGGGCTGCTGCATGCTGCAGCATACTGCAATGCTGTGGGAAGGCAGGGGGGCACAGACAGGGCTGGGTTTGGTGCTCCTCCACCTCTGGTACCCTAGGTAATCACAGATGTGCTACCCCTGCTGTTTCCAAGGAGGTATAGAGGCACTCAGTCTTCTGCTTAGCTGAATGTTGATTTTCGAGATACTGAATCTTGCATCTAATAGTAATTGCTGTTCTCATGCTGTGGGCCACTGACTTAAAACCACTGTGGAGAAATACACATTAGCAAGTGAAACATAAAGTAATCAGCCATAAACCACACATACAGATATGCACACAGATGACACAGACAATATAAGAAGGAGAAAGTAACTCTGGAGACCCCCCCATGGCAGGCCTGCACAACTTTTAACCTGTCAGCCCCACACAATCACCAGCTACCTATGGTCACCCACCTCCTTAGCCTCTTGTTTTTTGCTGGCTACGCAGAGCCACAAAAAAACAGGGCAAGGGGTGAACATAAGAACATAAGAGACGCCAATGTTGGATCAGGCCAAAGGCCCATCCAGTCCAACACTCTGTGTCACACAGTGGCCAGAAATACCAGTGCCATCAGGAGGTCCAGCAGTGGGGCCAGGACATTAGAAGCCCTCCCACTGTTGACCCCCCCCCAGCACCAAGAAGACAGAGCATCACTTGCCCCAGAGCCCCTAGCTATACCTTGTGGCTAATAGCCACTGATGGACCTCTGCTCCATATGCTTATCTAATTCCCTTTTGAAGCCATCCATGCTTGTAGCACCCACCACTTCCTGTGGCAGTGAATTCCAAGTGTTAATCACTCTTTGGGTGAAGAAGTACTTCCTTTTATCCATTCTAACCCGACCGCTCTGCAGTTTCATAAACACAGTTTTCCCACAAAATATCCTTAGCTGAATTCTCTCAGCTGAAAGCAAGTAAAAGAAACCCACTCACCACTCTCACAGCTCTCTCTCCTGCTCCTGCTCAGAGCTCAGCTGGTGAGTTTTTAGTTTGAGCACCCAGCAGGCTCTGGTTCTTGGCTCCTAGTTTATAATATCTGCAACCCTGCTGAATACTGAACGGCTTTACAATACTATCATCAAAAGCAAATGAGGAGGGCTCCCATCCAATTAGACAATCTGTAATTCATGAAGCATCTGCCTTTTTAACCAGTTAATCAATTCCTTACATTTAATTAGAGTTACATATTACTGACGCCTCTCCTTCGGAAACATTGGAGGAAGTGTGAGATATCATACAACCTTTTTCTAAGAAGTTACCACTCAATGTCAAAAGGAAAGACCATCTTAAGGTTTTTCTTTGCATCTTTTGGAAGTAACACACAAGAACCAAAATAGATTCAAAACCCAGCACTGTTTGCCCTTTACTCCCAGATTTGCCAATTAAAATTGCCACCCATTGATTAATACATTTTTTTTAAAAGGAAGTTGAGCCTGACTCAGAAGATAGTTACTGGGGCTTTAGTAGTTGACCTACTATAATGTTAGTTGATTAATCTGCTGGTGTAAAGCTTGCAGCCATAGTAATTTATCTTGGGGGCTTGAGTCACTGGGGCCCAAACCTTATGTATTCGCCTTGTGTGCTCCAGGGTTATTCTCACCAGCTTTGCTCTTTCAGCTGTCTATCCTTTCACACGTCACCTCCCGTGCCACTGCTGGGGGAAGGCATCAAGAGGTTTCTCTGTTCTGGTTAGATGTCTGCAGGGCATCTCGGTTCCTAACGGGAGCCCTATCATCATTTGGCAAAGGAGCCTCCTGCTGGCTATATGTTAGGTATACAGCCTATCGGCTACAGTCTGCTTCTGTGTATTTGGATTACATAAGGAGGTGTCTGAAGGTCAAATGAGCGCAAGGGAGATGGAGAGAAACAGGGCTGTAAAGCGTTCAGGGAGGGGAGATGAAGAATGACAGGCTTAGGGGAGGCCTAAGAGGGCAAGCTCTCTATTTTCAGTACCAGATCGCTGTCAGTCATTCTGGCTGAGATGAGCAAGCAAACAAGTCAGCCAGCCATCCCATCCCTTTTGGTCCTGTTTGCAATTTTATATTTTTGAGTCCTTTTCCTAAAGGAAGAAAATTTGAAGTGCTTTTATTGGGTGGCATAAACATGAGCTCTAGAATGCAGCCTTTCTGCATAAGCTGGTGCTGCTTTTGGTAAGCAGGTGAATGAACATCTGGCAACAGCATCCTTTGGGTTTGATCTGTGCCATCTGGTGCAATCCTGCTTTGTGTTAATATTAGGAAGTTTTCTTTCTCCCCAGATAATGTTATAGCTCCTGGCTGGGCATGGTCTGAGTGAGGAAGTGGGATTCAGAACAGGCAGGGCTATTACAGGAATGCACAGGAATGGAGTTCCGGCTGGCTCCCAAGTTGGCCACGCCCAGCAGGAACTCATTAGCATAATAGGCCACACCCAACAGCAGAAACCAGGTAAAGAGAACAAGAAGCAAAAGATGGGTGTGGCTGGATGACCACACTTCTGGTAACATGGGGGTGTGGCCTAATATGCAAATGAGCTGTACTGTCAGGGGTGTGGCCTAATATGCTAATGAGCTCCTGCTGTTGGGTGTGGCCTATTATGCTAATGAGTTCTTGCTGGGCTTTTTCTACAAAAAAAAGCCCTGAGAACAGGTGTATTATCAGTTTCTCCTAGAGTTACCTCCTCTGGCTTGGGAGATTCCTGGAGATTTGGAGACTGTGCCTGGGGAGTGTGCGAAGGAAAGAGAGCTCAGCAGGGATATGGTACTGTTGTATATCCACCCTCTGAAGCTGCCATTTTCTCCAAGGGAACTGATCTCTGTAGTCTGGGGATCAGCTGTAATGCTGGGGGAACTGCAGACTCCGGCTAGAGGTTGGCAGCTCTCGACTTTCTCTTATTCTGTTTGGACTGTCCCTGTGGGAAATCCAAATGGCATCATGCATGTGCAGCCAGGATATACTCCTGAGCAAGCCCCTCTGAAAAGTGCAGGCCCATATGACCCCAGCTTGGGGTTCCTGTCAGTAAGAGCAGAGAAAAGGCAATTCAGAGAATGTTTTCCCCACTGCAGCAATATCACCAAATGTTATTTATTAATTATTTTTACTTCATTTATACTCCTGATTTTGTCCCAAATCATCATTTGTTTACTTCTGATGAACTCAGTGGGAATCTCTGGTAATGGAGTTTGCTTTTAACTGCAGAAGACTGTCTTCGTTTTGAGTTGTCACATTGAAGTGTGACAAGGAAATAGTGCCCCAAAACGCTATTCTCTGTGAGAATATATGTATACGCGCACACACCCTTTTTAGGGGATGAAAAGCATTTGCAATATTTTTTCCTCAAGTTTTGAAGTTCCCCTGTTCTTGTGGGTGGATGTTCAGGCCCAGTCAGAGCGGCATGGAGTGTTTCAGGAGCTCAGTGCACAATATAATGTATTTCAACAACAAAGATAATTTTTTAATTTATTTAGGAATATTAACAGGAGTTAAAATATTGGGGAAACAAATCCTGACTGACTGAGCTATCAATTATACATTTATTTAAAAACTGATTTATCTATATCCTAGGAAGAAAATCAAACTGTAGCTTCCCTTCAAAATCTGAACCCACCTTCCCACTCTCCCCTCAAGGGAACACAAAGTGGAGTTGATCAGTTTTGATGCACTTTTTACTTCAAGTGGGCCCACTCACTGGCTTGCAGTTGCTGACTGTATAGTCCACTGTCTGGGGGGTTGTGGTGGGCTTGATATCTTTTCAGTCCCTTCATAGCTCCTTCAGGGAATTTCCTCTCATTTTTTCCTTGCCACCAACTCTCCAACTCTTTTCCAACTGTCACTGCATCGCCTGTCATTCACCCTCCAGTATTCTCTCATCACCCTAGCAACCTGAACCTCCCAGAACCACCTGCCCCATCCGCATTTGGCCACTCACTATGTAAGGTTCCTGACACATTTTATCGGGGAAATATCAGCAGTGGCCCTCGCCACACACACAACCAATCAGTTTCATGCTGTTCTACTCGTCCCCTTTGCTAGAGCAGTGGTTATTGTGGGCAGCTGGAAGTGAAAGTTCTGATTCTCTGTTTGCAGAAAGGCTTCACGCCCCTGTACATGGCAGCACAAGAGAATCACCTGGAAGTTGTCAAGTTCCTGCTGGAGAATGGGGCCAACCAGAATGTGGCCACTGAAGTGAGTGCCTCTCCCCGTAGCCCAGATATTTGTGCTTCATGTTCCATAGGCAGCCTCCGTATGGTGCAAACCTTTTCACTCACTATGTGTGTTTCTCCCTCTCCCATCTATGACAGGACGGCTTCACGCCACTAGCGGTGGCGCTTCAGCAGGGCCACGAAAATGTTGTGGCCCACTTGATTAACTATGGGACAAAGGGCAAGGTGCGCCTTCCGGCGCTGCACATAGCTGCCCGCAATGATGACACGCGGACGGCTGCTGTGCTCTTGCAGAATGACCCCAATGCCGATGTCCTTTCCAAGGTATGCGGTCTGTCAGGTGTAATCTGTGGTACGTCTGGCTCTGAGCTGTGCCTTTGGGAGGTGTGGCCCCTATTGGGGTGATGTGTAGCTTTTCACACTGCGATCCTAAGATGAGTGTGATGCTGTCACTGAGTGTGTCTTCAAGGTGCAAAACTGCTTTATTTTGAGGGTGGGGCAAAGCAAGTTTTGTTCCAAGGGTCCTTTAGAACAGAGAGAATTCTGAATGTGTTCCTCAGAGCTCATGCTGCAGTCCCAATTGATTTGACAGAGACAGAGAAAGACCTAGCCCATCTCAGTGGGTGAAAACAGCTCCTCTTTTATTTGTCTGTCTGTTCAGTACATTTTAATCCTGCTCTTCCTCCAAGGAGCTCAGAGCGGCTTCTTCCTTTTTATCCTCACAACAGCCTTGTGAGATAGAATAGCAGTACAGGATTACTGGCCCCAAGTCACTCAGCAAGTTGCATGGCAGACTGAGGATTTGAATGTGGGTCTCTCAGGTCTTAGTCAAATCACTACTTCACACTGGCTTTAATTGCATGCAAGTGAAGGGGGGCACTTCCTACCGGTTATTGATTACTGGGTTAGGGTCCTTGACCTTTCCTTATAAACCTTAAAGCAAGATTTAGAAAAAAAACAAATGAACATACACCCATATTATGCTGTAGCTTGGGTCAATGCAGAAAGGATGCAAATCCTTTATTGTCATGCCCTTTAAATGTAAACATTAAAAAACAACTAACAGAAGGTAAGGGTTCACATTTGAGGTCTCAGTGCAATTATGGATGCATTTATATGTTCCTCTTCATCCCCAGAGCTTAGGGTTCCAAGATGGTCTCCCATCCCCAAGTACTTTATGGGGTCAGTCTTGCTTAGCTTCAGCAGTTAGAACTGTGCCTTGGGCCTTTCAGGCCATTCTGAAGTCTAATGAAAAATTCTGTAAGAGACTTGATTCCATTTTGAAGCACTCTCAGTGTGGGCCTGCCAGTGTGGATGCCAGGGCTGCTTTCTCAGTCGGTTTACTGCCTTGATTTTCTATCTCCCATGGCCTCCCCTCACAAATTCTTTCCCACAGACTGGTTTTACCCCACTGCACATTGCCGCTCACTACGAGAACCTCAATGTGGCGCAGTTATTACTGAATCGTGGAGCGAGCGTCAACTTCACTCCCCAGGTAAGCACAGAGTCTTCTCCTGACACTGGCAGGCCTTAGACTTTGGTCCTGTGATCACTGACACAGGCGTGGTGGGGCCTTACATCTTGTTTGGTGCTACTGCAGCCTACAGTTTGGGGGATCCCATAACTGAATGCTTCTCAGTTTGGTGCAGTGGTTAAGTGCAGAGAGCCAGTTTGGTGTAGTGGTTAAGTGCGCGGACTCTAATCTGGGAGAACCGGGTTTGATTCCCCACTCCTCCACTTGCAGCTGCTGGATGACCTTGGGCAAGCCATAGTTCTGTCAGAGCTGTCCTTGAAAAGGAGCAGTTTCTGTCAGAGCTCTCTCAGCCCCATTTGTGCCTCCAAAAGAACACTAAAAAATTCTTATTTAGAACAGTTGGCCTTTGCTGTTTTCTAAGGCATTTTACCTTGCCTGGCTCTTTGGGCTGCTTGGGCCACTGGAATTTTGTACCTCCGATAACCCTGCCTGTCATTTCACAACTGCAGTCTGCAGTAGTATGGCTGCATGATGCCCTTATAAGTACATTATGGTGGAGTCTACCATCTTATTGAGAAGAACTAGGTTACAGCAGGAGAACCTCAACTCTAGGACTAGGGTTGCCAGGTCTGGGTTGGAAAATACCTGAAGACTTTGGGGGTGGATCCAGGAGAGGGTGGGGTTCAGGGAGGGGAGGGGCCTCAGCATGGCACAGTGCCACAGAGTCCACCCTTCAAAGCAGCCATTTTTCTCCAGGGCAGCTGATCTCTGTCAGCTGGAGATCTCCAGGTCCCACCTGGAGTCTGGCAACCCTATCTAGGATATTGCATTAGGCTCGTCCCCCCAAGGGCAGTCCGTCTTGTACCTTTTTCAACTGTTAGGCCTCTTCCTGGTTCCATCCAAAGAAAGAACCAGCCTCTGAGAGGAAAAAACCGTTGCTGTGATTGTGGAGTTTCTCTTCTTATCAGCCAGTCTGTCCATTTGCTTTTCTTAATGCCTCCTGCTAGGTTTGATCCACAAGATATCATATTTGATCAATGAAAAGGTCATCTCAGTGTGCAGCTGCAGTGAAAAAGGCAGACCCCACACTAGGGGTTATTAGGGAAAGGACTGGGGGGAAAGTTAGTGTCATAATTGCCTGTTATAATTCTATATATAGATAGATTTTATAGCTGTTCCACCTTGGTAAGGGTATTATAGAACTGCAAAAGGTGCAGAAAAGGGTAACCAAAATGATCAGTGGTCTTAAGGCACTTTCTTCATGAAGAAAGGGTAAAATGCTATATCTCTATTGAGAGAGAGAGAGAGAGAGAGAGAGAGAGAGAGAGAGAGAGAGAGAGAGAGAGAAGAAGAAGTAAAGTGAGAAAGCTATTCTATGCCTTGTGGCATGCTAGGGATCACTCAGACTGACTGGCAGTAGATTCAGAACAGTCAAATGAAAATTCTTCATCAAGCAATGCATAATTAACTTAAGCAGGCAGCTGCCCCAAGATGTGGTGATGGCCACGGACATTAAGTGGACAGACACATTCATGAAGGAAAGTTCATGAGAGCCAAATAGAACATTGATGCTGAGCAGCAGTATACCTCTGAATGCCAGCTGCTGGGGAACAAGAGCAGGGGATGGCTCTTGCCTTTATATCCTGCTTATGAGCTTCCGAGAAGCATCTAACTACAGGAAACACCCTAGCGATAATGCATGTTTCACTTCTGCAGTCCTCAGTGGGCCATCCCCAATGGTCTCCTCCTGGACAGCAGTAGAACAAGATGAAGAGGGTCTTGGTCTGATGCTGTAGGCTCAGCGGGCCCTTCAGCCATCCACAGTCCTTGCGTATCTGCCCAACCTTGTTGGGAGCTGGTACCATGCAAAGATGGATATATCAGTCCTAGCTCCTCTGCAGGAAGGAACATGAGCCACGGTCCCTGCTTATCCTCTTCTCAGTAAAACAGCAGATAAGAAGTTCCAACTTCACTCCCTGTCCACAGTTTCCTGTAAGAAAAGGCTGGGAAGAGACACATGCGTAGTCTTAAACCAGAGTACTGCTAGAAGGGCCATAGTGTTAAAACATATTTCTGTATGCAGAAAGTCCCAGTTCTTAGTACCTCCAGTTTAAAAGTATATTAGTTACCTGATTTTTGCCTGGGACATTTGGAGCACTTCTATCAGTCAGGGGAGATGATACTGGGCAAGTCAACAGTGTGACTCAGCTTCATATGTTCTCCTCTCTGCTCTCCCAAATTGCAGAATGGCATCACCCCACTGCACATTGCTTCCCGTCGTGGCAATATCATCATGGTGCGCTTACTGCTTGACCGAGGAGCTCACATTGAGACCCGTACCAAGGTAAGACATATTTGGGCTATTCTAGTCCAATGCCCATGATGCAGTGGGGCCCCTGACAAAGGCTGCATAGGCTTCACTGATATCGGGGATATGGACAGGGAAAGGCAGTGCAATTAGAATGGCAACAGCAGAAGAACTCTTGCAGTGGATTACCTGGAACACAAAGGCCACGAGGAACCTTTTTTCGTGTGGAACTCATAAATAATGCATCCCCTTCCCACATACATGTTTATTCCACAATCACACTGTATCATGGGTTTTGTTATCTACATATAAATCATTGGAAGTGATAGTTCCTATATTTCATATTGTGAGAATGTAGAGTGCAATTGGTGAAATGCCATTTGGCCATATGAGCCTGTACCACCTGTAGTCCAAACATAGCCTTATTTCAGTGATGGTCACATGTCAAACCAGAGTTCTGTGATTGATTATTTTTTATTATTTATTTATTTACATTGCATTTATATACCGCCCATGACCCCTAATGGGTCTCAGAGCAGTTTACAGTGTACTGCTACTAGTATAGTTGCAGTAGTTAACCTACCTAGGGCCACAGATTTTTAGGGGGGCGGGGGAACTTCCCTACCGACACCCTTGTTGGCGGTGCGTTCTCTCTTCTTTCTGGCGGGGTATGCTGGCGTCCTCGGCTGACCGGCACCACCTCAGGCGGCTCGATGTTTTTTGTTTTTTTGGTGTTTTTTTTTTAAAAAAACGCTCCGGATATTTTATATGGCAGTGAAAAGCTTTCTGTAGGCGAGGGAATGTGGATGAGGGCTGTAGCATACATGAACTGTTTCCCTTATTGAAACCCCCCCCATACCTTAAGCTCTGGTAGGAAAAAAAGACATACACAGCTGTATATACCAGTCATTTTTCCCTGCTAAGCTTACAAGCTGCTGTGGGGAGGAGGCCTTTTTATTGGGGAAACAGTACTATTGGGGAGATTTAATCCCCCCTCCTGTCCCCAGTGCCACAGCCCTTATCCAGTTTGCCCCCTCCACAGCTCTTTTTAAATTTTATTAGGTGCCCAAGCCCTGGAATTCCATTATAATATGTAATTTGGCCCTGAGAACTAGGCATGAGTGGGCACAGTCAGGTACCAAACACCAGCATTAAAGTTTAGACTTACTGGCATGCAAGTACCATCATAACATTGGGGCAAGGCATGGCCAAAAAATGGGTGGGGTTGGCACTAAATGGGCATGGTTAAAGGAGGGCAGGCGGGTCTCCAAAGCTCAAGACACAAAAGTGCCTGCGAGAATTTTTAAAAGATTATTCCTGGCTGAATCACTGGCTCTCATACGATCATTATGCCTTATTTCTGCAGGACGAACTGACACCATTGCACTGTGCAGCCAGGAATGGACATGTGCGAATTGCTGAAATCCTGCTGGACCATGGTGCTCCCATCCAAGCAAAAACCAAGGTGGCGGGCAGAACAGGGATAATGGAGGGAGGGGGTAAAGCAATAACCTTGCAAGGGTACAGGAGATTTTTCTCTCTCTGCTGCATCCTCCCTCTGGGTACTGCATAGGGTATCTGTTCCCCAGCTATTGAATTCAGCCCCCGCCCCCACAACATCCACCCTTTCTCCATACCAGCCAGTAGGGCCCACACCAACTAAAAGCAAGGAGGAGTGAGAGTGACTATCTGGATCTTGGAACAAGGACTTGTTTTCCTGAAATGCTGGGCGTTGATTTAAGCCTGTTAAAAATTATTATTACTACTTTCCAGCAAATAGCCTGTTATTATCATTTTTATTTATTTAAAACATTTTTATGCCACCTGCTCTCCCTGATCAGGGTTCACAAGGTGGCAAATATGAAAAGCATTAAAACATACGAGCAATTAGAATGCATTTAAAAATTATAAAATATTTCAATTAAAAGTGGATAAACAACACTAGAAGGAGGGCCAGTAAATGTTATTGGGGGTATGCCAGATGAAACAAAAAAGTCTTCACCTACTGGTAAAAGACACTGATAGAGTGAGACAGACAAAACTGCCTGGGGTGGGATTTGGTGCCACGACCAAAAAGGCCTTTTTTCAGGTTGCCACCTGTCTGGCTTTAGGTTATTATTATTACTAGAACAGATAGTGTGTAGAGAAACATTTGCATGTTACAAGAATCCCTTTGTGTGTGCACGCGCGCGCATGCACTCTGCATGTGGGTGGGTGTGCCTTCATGTGGAAAGCCTTTATTCAGAAAAAGACATTGCACCTTCCCTGAGCCCTGCTACCCGCCATCATAGGTAGAACTTTGGTTTTGCCCTCACTGTGACTGCCCCCCACCATGCAGGGTTTTACTTTGCAGTTCACTCTAGTGGGGAAACCATTCCTTTTTATGGGAGAAAATAAAGGGTTTGCTCAGGCAAAGGGGGTGAAACCTATCCTTAATGACCTTGTCCTGTGAAACCCAAGTCTGATCCTGTTTCCATAGTTGCATCTTAGCTTCTGTTGCTACTGGGCAGTGTCCAAAGACTGACATTTATGCAGAGAGATAATTTGCTATATAAACTCTATATGTGTACCTGGCACTTTCTGGAGAAAGACAAACAAAAGACAGGTCCCTGTCCCTGAGGAGTTCATTCTCTGAATTTAAACAGGGGAGGGAAAGACAAAGGTAATGGATGGATGAATTCAAACAGAAGGAAATGCTGAGTTGTATAGTCTGGCATTGTTTCAGTTAGGTATGAGGACTGAACAGCTAAGCCAGGGGCTTCTTGGAAGAATTTTCTTTTTAACTGGAGTTAGAAGAAAGAGGGCAGACTGAGGCCACATAAGTTTCTAGTGGCGGCCAAGGGTGACCCCTGAGCCTAATTCACCCCCTATCAAAGTTGCCTCCAGCTGCAGGCCCTGCCCAGTGTTCCAGCCAGCAGCACGTGCCTGGCTACGTAGTCCTTGACCTTCATTGGATGAGGTGAGGCTCTAACTGTGCCTTTCTTTTCCCCAGAACGGCCTGTCCCCCATCCACATGGCCTCCCAAGGGGATCACTTGGATTGTGTCCGGCTACTGCTTCAGTACAATGCCGACATTGATGACATCACGCTAGACCACCTGACACCACTGCACGTAGCTGCTCACTGTGGCCACCACCGGGTGGCTAAAGTCCTCTTGGATAAGGGTGCAAAGCCCAATGCACGGGCCCTGGTGAGTGGGGAAGTCTTGGTTGGAGAGGGAAGACCTAGTTTCCTGTCTCTGCCATGGAGCTGACAGGTCCTTCTTCATCTGCATCTGCAGAATGGCTTCACCCCACTTCACAT